TTATTCGGCAGAATATTAGCGAAAGTGGTTTTCTCCGTTATCTCATACATGACGTAAGCGTGAGCCGGCCTGGAATGTTTAGTGCAATTGTGAGTGCAGGCCAGCGGGGAAGTGGGGAGGGGGTATAATCGCACTCGGTTCAAGGCAACCATGCCTAGTGTGAGTACACCCTTACACTCTGTGTGTGCGCATCCATGTTACCTAGTAACAAACGTGCTTGCAGCGGGATCAGGTAAATTACCCAGAAACAACAAATTCTGATTTCTGATTGGCTGGTAGGTGGCATTTAACTGACTCGAGACAGCTATGAACTCAGCAGAGAACTTCCCTCCGTATGCCTGCACCTCGCCCATTAATTGAATATAGCGGGACATGTTATCCCTTCTCAGCGTGAGAAATACAAGGTGTGGCGTGTGAACTGGTTGAAATGCGTGTGTCTCATAGTGAATGTGTGAGACTTGAGAGCCCAAATGAATGGAGAGATGGGTTTAAGCAGACTAAATGATTGGAGAAGTCTGTCATTTTCACTGGAAGATTGAGTTGACATTTTGATTAAACATTACAAAAGAAAAAAAGAAAAATGAAACACACATGAATGAATCATTCACAATAACATTTGAAACATTCAGTTGCAAAATAGATTTTGAACACTGTACAATAAACTCATTCTGTGCGCACTGCAATTGCATGCATTACTTACACTAAGCATTGTATATTTAAATTAGGAGCTCCAGAAACTGAGTGCTTCTCTTCTTCCCTCCTAATCCCTTCTTTATTCATCTTTTTGACTTCTATCTTCCTGTTCCTTCTCTCCAGGTGTATGTGGAGTACTCAGAGGCAGCACTGAAGGCAATGTATCTGTGCCATGTTCTCTCTTCTGCTCTCATAGTGTGACACTTGTCCTGTCTGAAACCACAGCATCAATATTCTACTCTGTTTCTCCACAAACTGCCCCTACAGACCTACAGGTCAAACTGCTATACTCTGAAAATACCTGAGTGCTGAAACTATTTGTCTAGAGTTTTAAA